CAGCCAGTAAGTATTGGAGAGAGAAAAACAGGGCTTCTTTCTACATGAATGACCTCAACTACCCTCAGTGCTTCCATCAGAGGGAATTAAATGAAAATTTACTTTTAATTGCAGAACAATATTTTATAGGCTTTGCTAATAAACACTGGTAAATTTGAAATGAAGATTTAGGGACTATTTTGATTTGTTTTAAAAAATTAGTATTAGAGTAATCAGATACTTTTCATCTTTTTCAAGAAAATATTTTTTTTTGGTCTCCCATTTTAACATTTCTCTTGTGGTTCTGCCTCTGGGAAATATTTGGGATTTTCTCCAAATCATGGGAAACCTTGCTCATCTTAATGATCTGATACTGATACGCTCTCTACTGGAAATTCCCCATTTGGCTCAAATTTCAGCCTCTGCATTTCTAGAGATGTGCCTTCTCTACAAATGTGTTTGAATTCCAGTTTACAAAGGAGCGAAAAATATTGCTAAAGCGTATAAACAGCGAAATGAGCGATGTGGAATGGGATATATATAAACTCTCACAGTTCACTTTTATTACCTTCACTGTGCAACTGCATTTAACATTTCCTGAAATAGCAATAAATTTTTGAATGAAGAAACATATGGCATTTTAAATATGCCAAGTGAGAGATATTATTGAGATAGTGAATATTCACCAAAATTTGTTGTTTTGCAGTACTCAGAAGCTCCCTGTTTAATGAGAAAGGAACACTTATCCTTTTATAAATACAGTGGTATAAATTTATACTAATGTATGGGTACATCTATAAACACAGATAATCCGTATTTGTCACAGGAATGTACTTGTAAATAAAACATTATGTAAATAATGCTATGCTACATGCAGCTCCTCTTTCTAATGTGTGAGCAGCTGATTCAACAATAGAACAGCAAGGCTCCACAGGGTGATTCACACATTTGTTCCAATGTTCTCATTGTATGTATGTTTTCATAAAATGTATAAGTATACTTAGTTAACATTTATTTACTTTTGATAATACATGAGAATGAAGTTTTGACCTTCTGTCTTTATCTCCTCACTGATATTTGCTTTCACCAGGAATCTCTTGCCTTGGCACACGGCTTTGGACATCTTACTTGTTTAAACACATACTTACTTTTGTTATTCCTAAAGTGAACAAGAGCTCTGTGATCCCTTCTAGCTCTAAGAAGAAGCATAGTGATGACTGTGCTAAGATTTCCTTATTAGAGGATCCCACTATCCCTTTGAATCCATATTAAACACTGCAAGACAATGATCCTAGTCATTATTTCAATGAGGAAAGTTAGTTCTGGAAGATTAAATGCTTTGTCTAAGGTCTAAATGGTGCTGAAGATGTGATTAAACCTAAGGGTCTGAATTACAGAATGTGTTTTTCTTATAAACCTCTGGTGTATAAATATTTTTATTAAAGCTACATGTTAAAAGTGATACACTAGTAAAGCTCTCAATCTTAAAATGGGTAAAATGTCATTCATAGAACACACTTATTTTTGTAAATCTAAAATACAAGTATTTGTCTATGAACTTAATAAACAATGACACAATTTGGGGATGCATGAAACTTTGAAATGAACAGTGTGGACAATGGTTTAAGTTTTGTAACGGCCTCCTCTTCAAATGTATTTCTTATGCGGTGTCAGATTTGCAGTTACAAGAAATCCTGTATTTGCCAAAATAAGTTACAGTACATAGAAACGGTAGCACAGCTCATTTCATGACCTCAAGATGTCCTTCAGTCAAACTGATACAGAAATATAAAATACTACTAGAAGTTTTCATTTCCATGATGACCACTTAGAGTATGTAACAACTACATATTTCACATATGAACTACATTAGGATGCTACTCGAACATTCACATATATGGCATACTACCACAGTGACATATTGTGTATCTTACCAATGACTTTTCCTCAGGTCTAAGAGCACAGTTGACACAGTTGGCCAGAGCCTTGCTTCACATTAGTAGAGTTGTGACAAATAACTATCTGGTCTGCATGATGGTCCAACGTAATTTTATCACAGAATTTTAATCAGGAAACATGGCTTGGCACAACTTAATGCATGCTCTCAAGAAATGTACATTATTTTAGCAATGTCATCATTTCTTATTCTTTTGAAAAATCATTATATCATGTAGTCTGGCATTAGCTTGCCACTGTGAATTAATAAAAATATATATTCAAATGATTCCATATTTTGACTTAGTTAAGTTAGATTTTAATCCATTCTTATATTTTAGATGTTTTCATAATATTCTGCT